GGGATGCCCGGAGCCAACTGTAGGCCACTTCGTGCTCTTCGATTTCCCAGAACTCCATTCCCGGGCCACATTTTGGATGCCCGGAGCCAACTGTAGGCCACTTCGTGCTCTTCATGTTCCCAGAACTCCATTCCTGGGCATGATTTTGAATGCCCGGAGCCAACTGTAGGCCACTTCGTGTTCTTCTAGTTCCCAGAACTCCATTCCTGGGCCACATTTTGAATGCTGAGGCAGGCTGATGCTGCGGCCGAGGCAGGTTGTGGCTGAGGCAGGCTGAGGCTGAGGCCGAGGCTGAAGGCAGACTGAGGCTGAGGCTGAAGCAGACTGAGGCTGAGGCAGAGGCAGGCTGAGGCTGAGGCTGAGGCAGGCTGATGCTGAGGCAGGCTGAGGCTGAGGCTGAGGCTGATGCAGGCTGAGGCTGAGGCAGGCTGAGGCTGAGGCCGAGGCTGAAGGCAGACTGAGGCTGAGGCTGAAGCAGGCTGAGGCTGAGGCTGAGGCAGGCTGAGGCTGAGGCAGGCTGAGGCTGAGGCTGAGGCAGGCTGAGGCTGAGGCTGTGACTGCGACTGCCGTTGCCGCTGCGACTGTCATCGCGAATGCGACTACGACTGCGAGAACAGCAGAATTCTACAACTGGATTTTCATCTGAATCTTGAGGGGAATGCTTTCAGATATGCTTCTACATATCGCTGTTAGGTTGCTTTGCCGGGATAATCTTCTTCTTCTCCCGTTGCTCCTCCTCCTCCTCCTCCTCCTCCTCCTCCTCCTCCTCCTCCTCCTCCTCCTCCTCCTCTCACTATGGAGGAATAATGAAGGGAACCGGGAACCGGGAACCGGGAACCGGGAACCGGGAACCGGGAACCGGGAACCCGGAACCGGGAACCGGGAACCGGGAACCGGGAACCGGGAACCGGGAACCGCGAACCCGGAACCCGGAACCGGGAACCGGGAACCGGGAACGGGGAACCCGGGAACCGGGATTTCCCTGACTCCAGATCCGCCCTAATTTGGCTTTTTTCCAGCTCAAGATTGCGGCGGACATCCACCTATAAGGAGCCGAAAAGGTAGGGCGGAAATTGCTGCACCCAGCATAAAGTAGGGCGGAAATCCGCAAAAGTAGGGCGGAAACAGCAGCAGAAACGTAGGGCGGAAATTTGCATCAGCGGGGCCTGAATAGTAGGGCGGAAATTCCAAGCCCTACTTACGAATTTCCCCAAAGTAGGGCGGATCTGGAGTCAGGGCCCGGGAACCGGGAACCCGGGAACCGGGAACCCGGAAACCCGGAAACCCGGGAACCGGGAACTGGGGAACCGGGAACTGCAGCCATGGGGAACCGGGAACCGGGAACCAGGAACGGGGAACTGCGAACTGGGAGCCGGGAACCGGTTTTGCTCCCCTGCTCTTTTCCGTTCTGTCGTGCTCCACTGCTCCGTTTGCGGTTCCGTTCTGTCCCGTTGCTCCGTTTTGCTCTTGTCTTGGCTGCAGGCTCGTCTATTCTGTTCTGGGCCGCACCATCGTCCGTTTTGATCTGGCGTGCCCCGCTGCTTCGTTCTGTTCTGCTCGTTCTGTTCTGTTCTGCCCTGATGCTTTGTTCTGGTCTGTCCCGCTGCTCCGTTGTGTTCTGTTATGTCCCTTTGCTCCGTCCTATTCTGGTCTTGGCCGCAGGCTTGTCTATTCTGTTTTGGGCCGCAAGCTCGTCTGTTCTGTTTTGTTCTGTCCCGGTGCTCCGTTCTGTTATGTGTGTGTTCTGTTCTGTTCTGCCCCGATGCCCTCGTCCGTTTTCGTTCTGCCCGCTGCTCCGTTCTGTTTTGTTTGTTCTGTCCCGCTGCCCCGTTCTATTCTGTTGGGTTCACTTTGCTCCTTGTCCAGGCCGCCTTCGCGTGGACCTATGGGGCCAATTCGGTGAGGTTTTGCGAAGTGCCAGCGGTTTCTAGGAGGAGCCGTGGCGCCTTTCCCCTCGATGTTGCTCTCTCTCTCTCTGGGAGGGCGGTCTCGCATAGATTTCTTGCTCGGATTCGTTTTGTCATGCTTGTGATGTTATGTTATGTTCTGCCCCGATGCTTTGTTCTGGTCTGTCCTGCTGCTCCGTTGTGTTCTGTTCCGTTCCTCTGCTCCGTTCTTTTTTGGTCTTGGCCGCAGGCTCGTCTATTCTCTTTTGGGCCGCAAGGTCGTCTGTTCTGTTTTGTCTGTCCTGCTGCTCCGTTCTGCTATGCGTGTTCTGTTTTATTCTGCCCCGATGCTCCCGTGTGTTCTGGTCTTGCCCGCCGCTCTTTTCTGTTCTGTTCTGTCCCGCTGCCCCACTCTGTTATGTTGGATAACTTTGCTGCTTGTGGAAGCCGCCTTCGCGTGGACCTATGGGTCCAATCACATGAGTTTTTACGAAGGGCTGGCTGTTTCTAGGAGGAGCCAGGGCGCCCCTCCCCCGACGTTGCTCCCTCAGGGAGGGTGGTCTCGCATAGGTTTCCTCTTCGGAATCCGTGCGATTCCGCGCAGGACTGCCATGTTTTTAGGATTTTTTAGGAGGAACCTTGGGTCCAGGTGTTTTCCTGTGGACCCCCCCTCAATAACGTGATGTTTTGCGCTGGGTCGGCTTGTTCTCAGGAAGAACCATGGCCCCCCCTCCCGGACGTGGTTCCCTCTGGAAGGGCGGTTCCGCGCAGAGTTCTTCCTCGGATTCCGTTCGTTTTCACGAAGGGCTGGCTCGTTTTTTACTAAGAAGCCTGGGTTCACGTTGCTCCTTGCGGCTGCCGGGTTTCGCTTGGACCTGTCCCCCCCATTACGTGGTGTTTTGCACAGGGCTGGTATGTTTCTAGGAGGACGTACGGCCCCCACGATGTTGCTCCCTCTGGGACGGTGTTTTCGCGCACGCTGCTTCCTCGTAGTCCGTGCGGCTTTGCGGAGGGCTGGCTGGTTTCTAAGAGGAACCTTGGGTTCACGTTGCTCCCACGTGGGGCTGGCCCTGGCCATGCTCGCTCCCTGCAAGGATTTTTGCGAAGGGCTGGCGCGTTTCTATGAGGAGCCCTGGTATGCTCGCCCCCATGCAAACACAATTTGCAGAGGACTGCCTCGTTTCTGCGCACAACCTGGGTTTCCCCTCCCCCTCCCCACTCCTCCTCCTTCCATGTTCGCCCATCCTGGCTACCCAGTCTTTTGGCCTGTCCGTTTTTGTTTACGTTTCGTCATGGTCTTTCGCACAGGGCTGGCTGGTTTCTACGGGGGAGGAGCCGTCGTTCCCGCATGTTTTGCTGGATGCACCCTGGTTCGTGACAGTGCGGCTTCTCCCAGAGGCTTGCGCTTTCTGCCACATGGGGCTGGCCCTGTCCATGCTCGGCCCTTGCATGGAGTATTGCGAAGGGCTGGCGTGCTTGTAGGAGGAACCCTGGTATGCTTGCCCCCATACATTCACAATTTGCCCAGGGCTGGCTCGATTCTAGGCACAACCTGGGCTTCCCCTCCCCCTCCCCTCTCCTCCTCCTTCCATGTTCGCACATCCCGGCTACCCAGCCTTTTGCTGGTCCGTTTTTTGTTTACGTTTCTTCATGCTCCTTCGCACAGGGCTGGTTTGTTTCTAGGAAGAACCGTCGTTCCTTCATGTTTTCTTGAATGTCCCCTGGTTCGCGAGAGTGCGGCTTCTTCCAGAGGCTTGCGCTTTCTGCCGCGTGGGACTGGCCCTGTCCATGCTCCGCTCCTGCACGGGTTTGTGCGAAGGGCTGGCGTGTTTCTAGGAGGGACCCTGGTTTGCTCGCCCCCTGCATACACATTTTTGCTGGCTCGTTTCTAGGCACAACCTGGGCCTCCCCTCCCCCTTCCCCTCTCCTCCTTCCATGTTCGTCCATCCCAGCTACCCAGCCTTTTGCTTGTCCGTTTTTTTGCTTACGTTTCTTCATGCTCTTTCGCGCAGGGGTGGCTTGTTTCTAGGAGGAACCGTCGTTCCATCATGTTTTGTTGGATGCCCCCTGGTTCGCGACAGTGCGGCTTCTCCCAGGGGTTTGCGTTTTCTCCCACATGGGGCTGGCCCTGTCCATGCTCCGCTCCTGCACGGGTTTATGCGAAGGGCTGGCGTGTTTCTAGGAGGGACCCTGGTTTGCTCGCCCCCTGCATGCACAATTTGCCCCGGGCTGCCTCGTTTCTAGGCTCGTACCTAGGCACAACCTGGGTTTCCCCTCCCCCTCCCCACTCCTTCTCCTCCTTCCATGTTCGCCCATCCCGGCTACCCAGCCTTTCGCCTTGTCCTTTTTTTGTTCACGTTTCTTCATGGTTTTTCGCGCAGGGCCGGCTTGTTTCGAGGAGGAGCCGTCGTTCCCTCATGTTTTGCTGGACGCACCCTGGTTCGTGACAGTGCGGTTTCTCCCAGAGGCTTGCGCTTTCTGCCACATGGAGCTGGCCCTGTCCATGCTCGGCCCTTGCATGGAGTATTGCGAAGGGCTGGCGTGCTTCCAGGAGGAACCCTGGTATGCTTGCCCCCATACATTCACAATTTGCCCAGGGCTGGCTCGATTCTAAGCACAACCTGGGCTTCCCCTCCCCCTCCCCTCTCCTTCTCCTCCTTCCATGTTCGCCCATCCCGGCTACCCAGCCTTTTGCTTGTCCGTTTTTTGTTTACGTTTCTTCATGCTCCTTCGCACAGGGCTGGTTTGTTTCTAGGAGGAACCGTCGTTCCCTCATGTTTTGTTGGATGTCCCCTGGTTCGCGACAGTGCGGCTTCTCCCAAGGGTTTGCGCTTTCTGCCACATGGGGCTGGCCCTGTTCATGCTCCCCCTGCAAGGTGTATTGCGAAGGGCTGAGGAGCCCAGGACCCGGGAACCGGGAAACAGGTACCGGGAACCGGGAATTCCAGGAACCGGGAACCAGGAATCGGGAACCAGGATCCGGGAACCAGAAACCCGGGAACCAGGAACCGAAACCCAGGACCCAGGACCCGGGACCCGGGGCCCGGGACCCGGGACCCGGGAATTCGGAACTGGGAACCGGACCCGGGACCCGGGAACCGGGACCCCGGACCCGGGACCCGGGACCCGGGATCCGGGATCCGGGAAGCGGGAGACGGGAACGGGGAACCGGTTACTTGGCGACTAAAACAGTTTACTTCCTCCTCCTGCTCTTCCCTCTCCGCTTCCCCCTCCTCCTCTTCCTCTTCCTCCTTCTCCTCCTCCTCCTCCTCCTCCTCCGCTTTTTCCTCCTTCTGACTAGTTACCCCGTGCTTCCCACTTGAATCAGCTTTCTCCATTGTCGCGATTTCTGTGAGCTCCAGCGGAGCAGGGGGACACGCGCATCCAGACCTTGCCGTTCTCGCGATCCCCTGGGGGGTCCAGTGGAGCGGAGGTGCACGCGCATCCAGACCTTGCCATTCTCGCGAGCTCCTGGGAGGTCCAGCGAATCTGGGAGACACGCGGGTCCAGACCCGACATCGGCGCTCTCTGGAGGGCCGTGAATCGCGCAGCTGCCGCCGATTTCGCGCCATCCTGGGGGGTTCAGCTGAGCAGAAGGGCTACACCTTGGCCTCCCTGGTCGTCTCCTGCGAGGTCCAGCGGAGCGGAGGTGCACGCGGATCCAGGCTGGACCTCGTTCTTCCTGGGCGGCAGCCAAGTGTGCAGCTGTCTCGCTCGCTCCTGGGAGGTCCTGTGGAGCGGAGGTGCACGCGTATCAGGACTCGACCTCGCCTTCATCAGGGGGGTGCCAGCTGCGCAACCTTCTCCACTTTCGTGAGCTCCTGGGAGGTCCAGCAAACCTGGGGAGGGGGGGAACTAGACAGCGCCGCTCCGTGGGGGCTGTCGCCAATTTCGCGCGCTCCTGGGAGGTCCACTGGAGCAGTGGGACACGCGGATCCAGACTCGACCTCGCCCTCCTGGGGGGGTTGCCAGCTGCGCAACCTTCGCCACTTTCGCGAGCTTTTGAGAGGTCCAGCGGGGCTGGGGAACACGTGGATCCAGACCAGACCTCGCCATTCCTTG